ATTTTAAAGAATCCCAGATATATTTTTTCCAAAAACTCTACTTAATAGATTTGCCATACATAGTAAAAAAAGTTTATATTTGTAATCTCCAGTTTGTATTTTCATTGCAGTAGAGAGTCAGTGCAAACTTTCCATTTTGAGAGCATCTGTATATTTATTTTAAGTGAATGACACAGACATGATTTTTCAGATACATTTTGGGGATAACTTTTATATGAAGCAAGACCGATTTGAAAAAGAATTTTTTAGGGGTGTTTTGAACTACCATCCAATCTAAATTGGGAACTGTTGCTGTTTAAACATCATGTACTTTTACTGATAAGGGGTTCCACAGGAGCTGCAAAACCATCGTAAGTTTTCCAGGCAGAAAAGCATAACTTCATTTGTTACTGCGCAGCAGCGCTAAAGATGTCTGCTCGCCAGGCAGCCACAGGGCCCCGCGTAAGGTGTCGCTCACTGAGTGGCGTGGAAGGGCGGCGCTGTTCCCAGTTGCATTCGTTTGCCTTTGACCATGATCTCTGCGCTCTCACTGGGTGTCAGCGACGTCAGCAGTATGCCCACCCGAAACGACCAAGGGAAACGGTTGAGGGCGTATTGGATTTTCTCACATGTAGTTAAGTTATGCAGTGGCAAAAATACATTTTCAAGAGAAAAGAAAAGATTCAAATTACTGTAAGGGTATACTCTTTCCTACAAGTTGTTTTTTCCACAGCTTTTTATCAATAAATTTAAAACCTTGAAAATGAAAACAGTGGTATAGTGAACCCCTGTGTAGTCTTCGCTAGGCTCGCTGATATTCTACATTGTTAGTCTGGGATCTTACGTTTCTTTTTCTTGCTAAATGTACGACAGTGTTACTTGTATTAAGGAAGAATAGTTGTATAAGTTGCTCCCTTCTCGGAGCTTGTTTTCCACTTCAGATCTATAAACCTTGTGGGGTTTCCTTTTTGTATGTGTTATGAGATTTAGGAATCTGTTTTATTTCAAGTGGCTAGGTAATTATGTTCTGATTATTTGTTACATAAATCACCCTTTCACATTTAAATTTGAACGTTTCCTTTATTTTGCTTTATATGCGTATACGTACATATTATATATATGTGTGTATATATATGTAATTGAATCTAATTCTAAACTCTCTTTTGATCTTTGACATATTTGTGTATTCCCCTGAAACTTGGGGGCAGTATGCCCCCCAAGTAGTAAGTTCCAAAACCTTGTAGGGCCTTCTACTGTGTCCCCTGAACGTGGACGGTAACATATTCTTTGCACAGTGTCCCGACTCCAGAGCATCGGTTCACCGGGCAGCAGTAAGGAGAGGATTCTGAAAGAGCGGAGCTCATTCTGTCTTATGCATATTTTAAATTTTGTATTCCTCGTGTAGAAAATTATAGAGCGGATACGTGTTTCTTTCTTCTTTGTATTTTAACTTCAAACAAAAGTGAATTTACATATCTTACTGAGTTCTGTCACTATAATCATTCTCAAATATGCTGTCCTGATTCCGTTATTCTTTTTGGCATCTCTTTATCTTATAATACCCTAATTTCTATAGAGAAGTAGAAGAGTAGATTATATATAGTGTTTATATTCCTCAGTCAGTGATCACAGGATCACATCGTACACCTCATTTGAGTCAGCATCTCGCCATGGACACTGCTGGGAACCTCATGTGCGCGTGTGCGTGTCCGTGCCGGGCGGCGTGTTGCTGCCGTCCCTGTGCCCCGTGTCAGTCCCTCAGAGCATCTCCATTTCATTTTTCAACGTTTGTCAGTTTTTAGTTTATTAGATAATTATTTTTGTTGATCTGAATGCATGAGTCCCATCTGGTGGCTGAGCAAGGTAATTATAAATATAATGCTCAGGAAAATTTGATGCATTTTTTTCATGTATCGTTTTGAAGTTCATTAAGGAAATCATTAATTCTTGAAATTAATAAGGCTGAATTGCATATTTTTGTGAATTACATTTGTATTTCAGCATACAGTTTAAACAAAAATGAAATGAAAGTGATGTCATTTAGTCCTTAGGGGGCCATCATTTGCGAATACCTAAGTTGATTTTGGGGATAAATACGTTAGGAACATTTATTTTATTCATGTTCTGTGTATTCTCTTTAGGTGAGGCTAAGAGAAGCTTTATAATTGAGTTTCGTCATCTGGTTAGTGTAACTTTAAAAATAGATATTCCATAGTTAAAGTTCAGGTCATTCTTTGTCATGATTGCACAGCTGTGTAGGTTCTAAATTTATGAGGGCTTCCTATGTAATCACACAGAATACATGTCTGAAATTACATTCAGATGAGGGAGAAAAACTTAAAAAATCAAAGGCATGTTTATCAGAAATTAAATATTAAAGAATGCATTAAATATATATTGGCCCAACTGCACATCTGAACCTTGGTAAGCCTTTACATAAGGAGTTAATGGGCCCCTAAGAGTTTTCATTAAGAATGAAAGCTTTAAAAGTCAATCCTCAGGTTCGAGAGCCCCGCGTTTCATTCATTTGATTGTGCCTGGTACCGGAATGCACGTGCTGCGGGAGGCGACTCGGTGTCTTCGCTGGCCTGCATAGACTAGCATGCCGAGTGTCGAGTGCATGTAGTTCTGGTTGATAACTGATTAATAACAAAGGAACGATGGTTACTTTAAAATTCTGAATTTCGTTGGCTGTTTCTACCCATAGATAATGACAGTACAGCACTTTTTTATACAGAGAAAAGTGAAAAGTCCATTTTTCTTTTAAGTTGTTAATGCTTTTTAAAATTTGGAAGACTTTCTTATGCTTTGGAAAAATATAGAACTCTGATCTCTTTTTAAGTGGTTTAGATTTCACGTGTAGGTGAATATAAGATACCTCAGAAATAATATTCTAGATTCGTAGGTGATAAATACCAAAATTTTATATTTAACATAGACAGCTGGGGTTAATATTTTTGGGGTACATTGGTCTGTATTCTGTTTGCCTGACTGGTGCTGAGTTTGCCATGTGTGTCTGTTCTTAACAGAATCAAAGAGTCCTCAGGATGGCAGCAGGTGTTCACAAGCCCGTACCTGGATTGGACCATCGAACGTGTGGCTTTAAACGCAAAGGTGGTCGGCGGTCCCCACGGGGACAAGGACAAAATGGTGGCCGTCGCCTCTGAAAGTAGCATCATCTTATGGAGCGTTCAGGATGGCGGCAGTGGGAGTGAAATTGGTAGGGGAGAGTTTGTGTACACTGCATTTTGCTGGTATGTAGAATGTTCTGAAGTTTGAGGGGGATTGCACATGAGTATCAAAACTAACCTGGATGGTTAGCTGGGACTGCCACATCTTTTCGGGGTCCAGTCATAACAAGTACTCAGTGTGAGAGGAATGGTCTGGCAAAGAAGGTCGCATTAGTCTCTCCCGCGATGGCGTGTGCCTGCCTAGCCAGTGCGATGCCGTAACCTCGCCTGAGGGGAAAACTGTTTCACCAATTTGCTCCAGCTGAAACTGGCAGAGAATTTAGCAACTGCTGGCACAGTTTAGTGCCGCCGCTTCGATTTGTGCTGACGCTGCTTTTACCCTGCGTTGCTTTGCAACGTTAAAGTTTTTAACACATTAAATTTTTCAGCACCACAGGTGTTTGTAGCCAAACATGCATATGAAAGATGCTCAGTGGTTGTCAGGTGCTGATACCGGATGTACAGAAGCAGGACACCAGGGCCAGCCACGTCCGCACGCGCATCTGTGGGAGACAGAAACAGTTGTGCAGACCGGTGTTCTCTCCGCCAGGTCTTCCGTTCAGAGGCTTATGTGTCACCGGCAGTGGCAACGCCGTGACCTCTTCCACGGCCTCTCGCCCAGCCGCGTTCAGCAGTCCCCGTTGAGAGGCCGCATTAGTCTCTCCCGCGATGGCCTCTGCCTGCCTAGCCAGTGCGATGCCGTAACCTCGCCTGTAAGGTGCTTCAGTGGCTGTCTCATTGCTAATTTAAAAGCCCGGAGGAAGCAGTTTCTGGTTATAAAAGAGTTTTTCACATGTTCATTTAAAATATTTCTATAAACTTTGAATATTTGTTCTCAATGAGCACGTACCTGGCATCGTAATAGTACTCAAAAGCTTTGTTGAGTAAGGCAAGTTATTAACATCTATGAAGCTGAGGGAAAGAATTTTCATTTTTAATTTTTTTAGTTTTGCCAAATTTCTTTAGAGTCCTCCCTTCTGTGAGTCAGAACTGATAAGTCCTGTCTTCATCAGCTTTTTTAAACTTAAATAGTGCAGCTGTGAGTTGACCACATGAGTGTTCTAATTTCCCATTTTGAAGCCAATGATCGATCCATCCCTAAGTATAAGGAAAACAATTTATTTTAGAATAAAATATTTATAAGTTTTAGGTAAAATTTTTGTATTTTGAAATGTTTTCAGAACATTTTTAAGGCTAATATTGCAAACCAAAAAAGTATACTCATTTCTTGTATTTCTGTAGCTGCAAGGAAAACTGAATTTCAAAACTTATTGAAGAATAATGAGGTTAAAGAGATTGTAGTAGATAAAACTGAAAATTATAAGACAATAGTGGAAATATTTAAAACAAACTTACTTGTGGGAAACTTACAGTTAGTTACACCCTAAACCTACTACCACAGACGATTCTAGAAAATATAAGACCCCATCACATATCATGTAGCCTCTGGAAAACAACTCTGTACATTCTTAAGATAATCAGAGTAAAAAGGGCAGCTGATGCTTTAGTATCAGGAAAATAGTCTTGACTTCTGGAAAGGGTCTCAGAGACCCACAAGGATTCCCAGAGCATACTTCGAGAATCATTGTTCTCGACCTTTTCCTTCCCTTCTCTCCCAGCCCAACATCTCAGATCTCGTGCCGCCTGGACGTACGCTTGCCGTAGTCTTCAGCTGCCTCTTGGACACTATCCTTCAGTCCTTTGCAGTAACTAGCGCTATCCCCAGTTCAGTATTTTTAAACTCCACTGAGATCTTCACTCACCACTTCCGTTTTTATCAGTCTTGGATTCTGTCATCACAGTTACTCTAGCAAAGGAGCCTGTTTGATCGCATCCCTCTCTGCCCTGCTGCTTGGAGAAACCCCAACCCTGGCCACATCCACCTTTCTACTTGAATAGCTGCGTTACTGTAATTGAACTGTCTTGGCTTCTATCTTTGGCAGAGTCCAGTTGTGTACTAGATTGCATTCCCTTTCTCCTACTCGGGCTTCGAGTAGTTACCGCCCCCGCCCCTCGATCGTCCATCAGCATCCGACCCTGCTATAATTCTGCCTTCAAAGCAACAACAAAAGCCACCCTGCGTTCATTCTCTTCCAGTTCGGGCTTCATTTTTCTGTTCTTAAAGCAAGAGGTAACAGTTACTGAATCTTACGATCCTCCTCTGTGTTCTCTCAAGTTGCTCCAGTCGTGCTTTTTCTCCCTACACTCCTGTTGGTGCCACCCGGGATCTGTGCTCTGCCAAGTCTATGATCAGTCCCTAGTCTTCCTCCTATTAGAGCTGTCATTTAAAACGTTCGATACAGGTGATTACTGCTTTCCTTTTGAAAGTCTAATTTAGAAAAGTCTTTTTAACTGTTACGTTATTAACATCACTGGACGCGCAGTGATTTTAATGTTGATTTCAGTTGCATTTCCCTAACATCTTTAGAAAAAAGTTAACATTAAAATTTTTGAAATTATAATTCAGAAAGGGAAACAATTGTGATTTTTTTTTTTCAAATTGCCACTTCTAACATACAAATAAGTGAAGGCGATTTTATGCCCCGCTTTGTTTCCAAAAGCTAACGTGGTAGGTAGCTGTGTTGTAAGACGGTGCGGTCATCGTTCACGCCCTGTAAAAGAAGCCGTTCGGTATTACAGATGGTCTTCAGAACTCGACGACACCGTCCAAGGAACGTGGTCGAGGCTGCTGTGTCCCTGCTGGAGCTAGCCAGGGCTGGCCCCCGCTGGACTGCTGACACAGCAGCATTTTCCCACAGGGTCCCTTGAGACAGGATCCTGTCATTGCTTACACCGTTGAGTGACACAGAATTTCTTGAGGTCATTCAGAATGCTTTCCTTGATTTCCCAGAACCTCATCTTTCTCTAGAGTGATCGATGTTAGTTTCCTGTTTTTATTCCTACCTTTCACAGAGTCCATAGTACTGGCTTCACCTGTTTTGAAAAATTGTTTGGCATCAAAATTAGAGTAGCGTTACATAAGAATTCCTAAAATTGAATGGGAAACGATGACTGCTTTCAGGTGGCAAGTTTCTTTCTCAACCAGTTCTGGTTAAAAGGCTTAGCTTTTCTGTGGGTTAATTTTATTTTGCTCTGGATTTGTTTGATTCGATTGGTTGGTTGACAGGTTGGGCTGAAATGATATATTCATGTATACAAATATAAGCATATATACAAATTAAAATGTGTATAGGAAACATTTCTAGCAGTGCTTACCAGGTTTGTTCGATGGTTTATTTTTTTCCTTCTTTTTGTCCAGTGTATGTAATGTTTCTTCCTGCCAGATGCCTGGCTTTTTCAAGATTGGTTAAGAATTTTTAAGATGTTATTTATTGTCCCTGGTCTTTACGGTTTTGAACAAAAAGAGAACTACCCCTCACTGGTGTAAGATTTAAAAAAAAATTAATTATCTTTGCTGGATTACACTTTTAATGCATGCTGCATTTGCATTTAATTGGTTTGATTCTTCCAGTGAGTTCTTCAAAGCCGTACGTTTCCTTGTTTTCTCAGCTAGATGCTGAGAATTGTTCATGTTGTCACGTAATAGGTACTTAAAAAAATAAAATACCGAAACAGCTAAAGATCTACAGAAAACAATATTGTATAGGTGAGACATTTTTCAGCAGTTTTAGGTAAAACGATATTTCTTATAAGATGTTTTTCAAGTAGTTAAGATAATACTATTTTGATGTCAAAATTGGTTAGTAGCATTTTGAGGGTGAACATGAGCATCGAGACATTCAGCTCCAGCAGTTGTGTAGACCAGATAGGTGGGAAGCAGAAGGCGGCATGGGCAGGCTGACCAGGGCCCATGCCCCGCCCGGCTCCTCCTGCCCCATGCTGCTCAGCACTCTGCTGATGCAGCGACACCCCGGGTGAGCCCGGAAGTCTCTGCCCTAGAGATTCCGGGCTCTTTTGCCATAAATGTGGAATCTTACAGCCTCCCTCTCCTGCATTCCCTCTTCCTTTTCCTCAGGGTCCCTGCCTGGGCTTGCTCATTCCTAGCCCTCTAGTTTGATGAACCCTTATCCACCTTTTTAAAAACCCAACTCAGATGGCATCTTTTCTAAGAAGTATTCTCAGATCCCTTTCTCAGCCTCGTTTACTCCTGCATGTTACTGGACTCTGCATGCTCCTGTCATTGTTGCATTATGTTGTAATCGGTTGTTTGCATTTTTTCTCCCTTTGACCATAAGCTCCTGGTAATATCCTGTCTTGTTTTGTGATCTGTCTAATATAGTGCCTTTCGAATGGATTAAAATTGAGGTCCACAATGCTGGGAAACAAGAGGTTTAAAATAAGTAAAGGCCTGAATGTTTGGGTATGGTGTGATTTGCTGTTGTTTTTTTTTTCCTTGTCTGTTTTGCATATTTCCAGACTTTTGGACACCTTCTGCGTAGTCGAAGGTGCCAAGTCTGTTTTCACATCAGAGGTTCCCAGATACGTGGCCCATGAGCAGCTGCCACTACTCTCCTCTGGAATTTATTAAAATGCAGTGGTTTTTTATTATTTTTTATTTTTTAAAATTTTTATTATTATTATTTTTTATATAGTGGGCCAGGCATGAATCCTAGGACCTTTTTATTTGTTCACTTTAAATCTGCCCAGTTATTTTGGTCGGCTAGGTGTGGGACCCGCAGCTCCAGATGACAGGGTGTTCTGTAAGTGTGATATTCCTCGGGGCCCGGCTTTCATCTGCGCTAGGAGTAAGCTGCTTAAGAGTTTCTCATTTCTGGTCCGCAGAGTGTCTGTCATGCAACTTGTAGAAATGAGAATAGGTTTAAATTAGTCACCTTTAAGACACTTTTAATCTGGGTTTTGATGAATTCGGAAGATGACTGATGAACCTCTTTGTTTTCATTGTCATTTAAGGCGTGTTCAGCCTCGGTGTCCCCGTAGACGCTCTCTTCTTCATTGGGAACCAGCTGGTGGCCACGAGCCACACAGGGAAAGTGGGAGTGTGGAACGCTGTCACTCAGCACTGGCAGGTCAGTTTAACTGAAGCGTATCACAGACGTGAAGATATGTATGAAGTGCGTGCTACTTATGCCTCTGCTTTGTTATTGTGAATTCATACTGTTTCTGTTTTTGATTATACAAACTGTTGAATGTCTTCTGGATACAAATTTCACTGTTTTCAAACATTTAAGTTACTTGGAAAATGAATGTGTTTTTAAACTGGTTTGACATTTCTTCATTTTTAAAATGTTTTAAGTTCCATACCTTGGGAATGGCAGCCCAGGCAAACTTCATTCCCTGTGTGGAAGCACAGACCTGTGTGAAATCGCATAGCCTGATCAGAGGAGATAGCCAGCTAGACGAGCTCGGGTACTTGAGAAGAACAAGGAGATAAGAGTGAAAAAAAAAAAAGGCTCATTCCTGATTCTGAAACAGAGGAAAAATTCAAGGACTTTAAGCAGAGAGTTACGTGATCAAATCCATGTTTTGGAAAGATAAAAGTGGTAGCTAACACGCGAGTGAGAACGGAGATCGGGGCGTAATCCAGCAAACGCCGTAGCGAGATCGTGCTGAGGACCGTGTGGTGGCAATGGCAGAGATGAGGCCATGTGGGAAGCATTTCGTAAGCCTTTCCAAAATGATAGGATTGCTCTCTGACGTGGAAAATTGAAGAAGGAAAGAGAGTTCTAGTTTTGGATTTCTGGTTTTGACAATTGAGGGGCTAGTAATATTTTAGATTTATAGGGAACATAGGAGCAGATACACTGGTGGATAATGTGGCAAATAATTAGATTGATTAAATGAACATCTAAATGCAGGTGTTAGTGTATAGTTAGGAGTTTAGGAAAGAAGAGCTAGAAAAAGCACTTATGTGATAATTGAAAAAATAAAATGATGAGATTTTCCATTAAGAGGGTGTGTAGAGAAAAAGAAAAACCAAGATTAAAACCCTGGGGAACAGTAGCATCTAAGGGGACAAGATAGGAACCCAAGAGCCAAAGAGACACATGTGATATGATTGAAAAGGGACACCGGTTTTGGCAGTAAGATGTCCTTTGCAAATGTAAGTCGATGTGAAGTTTGGGTGGGAGCACG